AGTCTTGAGGACATTACCCTTTTGAATTCCTTCTTTTTTCGACCGAATCTACAAACAGAACATAGAATAAAAAATAGAATATACAGTGAGAGGCTTAGAAATCAATTAAATTCGGACACGATTGCTAGCGGAGAGCCTACATGGTTCAGCAGAAGGTGCTACGAGACAACAGAACATCGAAACCCAAATGCAGAATCTTTCTCACCTTGAAAAGGAATCCATTCGGACTCTCGGGCCTGCACAGAGAATGAAAGGTCTATTGATAGAGGTCTCACCAACATTTATCGTGGTACCTGTATTTAGGGAATAGAAAGTCGATCAGAAATTTGCACAAGAAGTCTTTATTTGCGTCCGAAATGCGTTCCGTTGAGGTCCTGATATCCCATTTGCGCTCCAGTTCAGGAAATAGAAAGACGAAGTACTTCCGCAAGACCATCGCGCTCAGTTTCGTGGGGTTTTTCGCTTCACATCTTCGACTGGCTGGCTCCCCTTCCAACATTGCTCGATAGAGAGAGCGGTTTGACTGCTACAAAAATACACCAGATAAGTGAAGCGGGGATTCTCTCCGAAAGCGAACCTCAAGAATATTTCGCTTCTCGATCGGATTCTTTTCTTCTGAAGCGATTTCTAAAATGAATTCCGAAACCCAAGGCGCGTCGTATTATAATGAAAGAAACCAATTATTGATTATTTTTCCAATTCGTACAACCTCGATTGTGTACGAATAATTGACAGCCTCTGATGGCGTTATCCTTCTTTCACCCTCACGTCTCAGGAGCCGTTCCCCAGAAGCGTCTCTCATCTCGTTCATCACCACTTCCGATACGAGAAGAGCGCAAGTCGGTTTTGCACCCTACAGACGATAACCTCACTTCATCGAAATAATTCCTAAAAATGTTAGGTCTGAACAAAACATTTTGGTGGTTGTCCTCGAGCTGAAAATGACAAAGATGTCACACCATCAATCAACGCATCACTACATACAAATTCTACCCATTTATCGAACAGCTGGTAGACGGTTACAGGTTTTTTCTCGAGAAGCTTCCTGAATGCCTCCTACGAACAGCAAATTCCAAGCAAAATAAGATTTTGAGTTTTACTTTATTGCTGATGTCGTCGTCCAGCTCTGGGACTAACGGTTGAATTTCCGTTCTTATGCTTTCGAAAACACAGAAAGAAGTCCACCGGATGCGCAGAAAAGGAGCCTAGTTCTTTTTCGTCTTGATGGAAAGGGAAGAATGTGAGGCCGGCAAAGGCGTCGATAAAGCATGGGTTCTTTGCGTGCCTTCTGTTGGAACGAGAAAAACAAGAACTGTTCTCGCTCCTGGCCAGTCCCGATGGTTTCTTCACCTGTTTTTTTTGCACCCCCCAAAATTGACACTCCCGCTACCGTCAGCTCTTCTGTTTTATTTATATTTTGGTCATTTTTCAGACTCTTTTCAATCTGGTGTATTTTTTACGACAGCGAAAACTTGGTGGGAGTGGGAAAGGCGGGAATCGCGATGCCCTCGATGTCGCGATCCGCGTCTGGATCGTCGACCCTCCAACTCAGCCAGCCGACAATGAGATTGTATCAACCACTGACGTGCATGATCTCTAGATTGTATTGTTGTAAGTATAAACCGTTGGACTCTTCTTTCACTTTTGTCCTTCAAACAGGCTACCACCGGTGAGGAGCGCACTGGATTGAAGCCTTAAATTGCGAATTCCAAGCGTTTAAAACAAAGACGTTCATGGTAACATAGTACGATACAAAATTTGGCGTTCAATGTTTCTGCCAAGTTGCTGGAATCGACTTCTGACTGCGGTCTTGACTCGCGACATCTGGTTCTTTTGTCCTTTGGCATAAACTGTGGCGTCTTCGAGTCCTTCAATCCATCTCCGATCTCACTCCACTGTATCACGCAGCCATCGCTACAAATCCCATGCAATCGCAGAGAAATATATCCACATCAATACCACAAGAAAATGCGTGAAGACGTCAAATCCGCCACGTTCAAAGTTCTCTCTGTTCCATCAACTTGTGGACTTCAAAGCCCTTTCAGGTCCACGTCATCAACGGCTCAGACTCACTGAGTCGTTAGTCTGCCCTGTTGAGGGGAGGTGTTAGACCGATCGTGTTAGATAGTCTCACGCCTGTTTTCCTCGGTTTTTCACTCGACACAGACACCGCAATTCGTTCGTCTTGAGGTCCAGGTCCTCAGTTCTGCCAAGACGAATGGCATTGCTGAGGTATCTTTCACTGTCCCACCAACGACTTGCACGGGGGGATTTTGTTGATGGGATAGTTTTAGGAAACCAAAGCGCGGATTTGGATTCCGTCTTGCTCGTCTCTATGTTGGGCATATTTGTTGTCTGAACTCCATGGAAGCAATCAGTTTATAATTCCAGTCATCAATATTCCAAAAGATCAGTTCAAGCTTCGGATAGAATCGCAACATCTCTTGAGGCGATACCTTGTAGATGAATCTAATTCACCGCTAGTCGGAAATGGTCTTGAAAATATTTTGTTTTTTAATGATTGTTTCTCAGTGGACTATCCCGACTCTCCGTGGATTGCTCTTGTGGATCATAATGATCTTCCCTTTGGTTGTTCTGGGAAAAGGATCCATTCAATCGTAGATCATCATGTCGATACATTCGAGTCAATGATACAATCTGATGCCGACGACAATCTTGTGTTGACGAGTCCAGAAGGATGGAGGGGCGAACGACTTCGATGGATTGAAGGTCCCAAAATAGGAAGTTGCGCAACGATGATTACGCGATTGTGGAAAGAATTGATCGACAATGAAACTATCGGGAATGACACGATGAGTTCCGACGTTCACTGGTTGCTTCTGAGTACAATAATACGGGACACAATTGGTCTAAAGGAATCTTTTCGAAACATTCGATGGGGATTAGAAGATATCGCGATGTTCAATTGGCTAAAAGAGAGAATAGAAGACCGTGAAGAGCTTCAGGTTAACTTGGAATCTGTGATGGGGGAGTTTGAAGCCTTAAAGAGTAATCGTTCTCTTCATCAATCTATGGGAATGGATGGAATGTTGGCCATGGATATGAAGATATACAAATACAAGAGGATTGACAATTCGGATTTGGGAAACAAAGAATTACAGGAAACGACGATTATTTACAGCTCAATGACAATTCCACTGAAGGAGTTGATGGAATTGTTTGATCCTCTCAGTTTCCATTCTGCGGTTCAATCATTGATGCAACAACATCAGGCACAATTTGGAATTTTGATGAGTTGTTCTCCTGATTCAAATGGAGAGATGGAACGATTTATGGCGATAGCCGACCCTCTCGGTGCAGGTATGGAGTTGGAAACAACGGCCCTATTCTTTTCCGTCAGGCTTTCATTTGTCGATACTCTCAATAGATTTTTTGCAACTACAACCCATAGATTTGCCAGACACGTTGAACACGCTGTTCAATAATCAATACCATCTTTATAAACAGGTTTGTTCAATCATGTTGCATCGTGTTGATTGGAGTGATCGATCAGGGAAATCTTGCTGGAAGTCGCAAAGTTGTGGAACCTCTTATTCGAGCAAAATTCACCAGTGATTCATAATCCTCCATTTCTACAGTTGCTCGAAGAAGGAGTTTGGGAATGCGGGACATGAAAGAGCGAAAAACAGAAATAGCAAAAAAGTCTACAAATGGCCTTCTCCCTCCCTCATCATTAAGTAGGAAGAGGGTGAAAATAACGATAAAAGCAAATCCAACGAAACCTTTCGTCGAAACTGGATTACGAAGATTTTTTCGCACGATATTGTCCGATGACCTGAAGTGACATGGAGATCCATGAAAGTGAAGTCATCAAGCCTCATCACTCATAGGTCTATGAAGTCCACGAGATGGATCTATGGAGCATCACCAGTGCACCACTTACAACTGCATGATCTCGATGGTAAGGTTCTAACGTCAGCTGCTCCTTTGGTTTGCATCCTAGTTCCCGTAAAACTTGAATTTCAGCCGCATAAACGACTTCTGGTTTTGCTGTTGAATCAACACAATTTGCTTTAATCGAGATAACAACCCATCCACCATTCTTCAAAAAGTGATGAGCATTGAGACCAACAATACGCGATTGATCGGGTTGCGCCACATCTGAGAAAATTGCATCCACCATTCCGACGAGCATCCTAACGAAACAAACAACAGGATTAACCAAAAAATGAATAGGAACGCTGAATACATCAATTCATTGACGGCACTCTCTGAAGATGATTGTGACGCTGAAGTTATCTCTCACCTATATTTGAGCGGCTGCCGGGCGTCTTCAACAATGGGGACGATATTTGATCTTTTTTTGGCCATGTTTGTTAAATCTCTCCCAGAACGGTGCGAGAACTCAACTGCATACACCATACCATCCTAGAAAAAAACAGTGGATATTCAAAATAGAGAAATGTTCCATTCATCAAAATAGATAAATGAGATAACAGGTGACGACGAATAAGATGAGAGAAGAAAAAACGTCAACACTTATCGAGGATCAAGCCACTTACTGGGCCAACCATGTCAGAAACATGAGAAACGGTTGTTCCATTTGCTGCTCCTAAGTACAAGACTTTGGCTCCAGGCTTAATAGGCATATTCTTGACACCACCAAGAATTGTAGCTCCTAGTTTAGATCTGAACGGATTCCAAATTCGGTATTCAATCTTTTCCCCCGCTTCGTCAACAATTTCCAAGCGTTTCTCGCCGTAAACACTTTCGCCCACGACCATATTTTTGGTGACCAGAGAGTCAACTTTACCACCACGAGCTGTGAAAACACCTTCATGACGATGAGGAGTCACGACGACCTAAACGAGTCCCAAATGAGTATTTTCAAGTGAAAAGTGACAACGGATACCTTCGGTGGACCGCCTGGTCCGCCTCCTCTTCCACCACGTCCACCGCCTCCTCTTCCACCTCTAGCCCCTTGAAAAGAAAACAAAAATCAACGTTTCCTTCTAAGAATTGTCCCAATTATGTCTACCTCCTCTTCCGATTCCCTTTGGGGCTCCTCCCCTTCCAAACCCTCCACCGCCTCGTGCTCCTCGACCACCTCTGGACGCTCCTCCCCCTCTGGGAGCTCCACCTCGACCTCCACGGCTTGGCGGGCCTCCTCGCATGTTCTGGATTCCCGTAGAATCAAACTCTGTTAAGAATTCTTGACGTTCCACCAAACGTCAATTATGTGTGACCTGTCAAGGTCCCAGCTGGGTCAGGCAAATAGGTCCAATAAGTGTCTCGTGCCAGGTATTTTATTTGTTATTCAAAAATTCCTCGTCACGAAAAGATTTTGTCGAAATCTGATTTCGTGGCACGTTCCTGTTTCGTTGAGAAGTTCTCTGAACTTGATAAGACATGTCTCACGTTTTGCATGCACCTGACGCCCTGTCTCATTTATTGAGTCTTTAATATATTGCAAAAAGCTTTCTCGAGGCACAGTTTGTTTGTCTGATCCTCCATTCAAACCTCTTCAAATCCATTTTTTTAAGTTGTCAGAATGTCACTAGACGGTATGTCCACAACGTAACCAACATTCGACGAGTGACCCGGTTTTTCGTTTTTAACAGCTAAGGGCAGAAAAATAACGACGTCCACTGCGTCAATCCCGCGTCCTTATTCCAATTGGAATCTTCCAGCCAGGTACGAGATTCGCACCTTGCTTGGTGTTGGGTCTTATGGACACGTCTGTGAAGCATTTGATTCAGTGACTAAAAAAAAAGTCGCAGTAAAGAAAATCCCACGCGCGTTCGAAGAATTAATCGACTGCAAACGTATACTTCGTGAAATTGCTCTATTGAGCAGGTTGTTTCATGGAAATGTTGTTCAATTAGTAGATGTTGTGATTCCTGGCGATCCTGCGAAATTTGAGGTAAACTAGAAGTTGATATGGTCGATTATCTTCAATCATGTCTATTGTTGTCGATGATTGTTGTCAAGATGCATGACTGTCATGACCAATTGATCAATGATGTTTATTCTGAAATTTCATGTTTTCTTCCAGGAGCTTTATTTGATTCTAGAATTGGCAGATTCAGATCTGAAAAAATTGATGAAAACTCCCGTCCATCTTACAGAGTTGCATGTGAAGATGTTGTTATATAATCTTCTTGTTGGTGTTCAATACATTCATTCCTGTGGAATTTATCATCGGGATCTCAAGCCAGCGAATTGTCTCGTCAATCACGATTGCTGTGTCAAAATTTGGTGAATACTCCTCTTTTTATTCACCGACGAAGTTTGTCTTCCTGCTCTCAGTGATTTCGGATTGGCTCGTACTGTGGAAAGTCCCAAGGAAGTGGGACAACTCGCTCTGAATGATGGAGATGACGAAGAGGCTTACGCAGGAGTCCTTCACAATCGCTTGAAGAAGAAGCAACTGACAAGTCACGTTGTAACACGTTGGTATCGCGCTCCCGAGCTGATTCTATTGCAAGACGATTACACAGAATCTATTGATGTTTGGTCGGTTGGATGCATTTTCGCAGAGTTGATGGGGATGATTGTAAGATCAACGCTTTCGAAGTTGCTGCGGAGAGAAATTTTTCCCCACTTTCTTTTCAACAATTCTTTTTATTTTCCAGAAGGAAAACGTTTAAACAACATCTTGACCGAAGCCCATTGTTCCCGGGAAGTTCGTGCTTTCCTTTATCACCTGATCGTCATCAGAGTGATTATAATCCAAGTGGTTCAGTAAAGGGAATCGAGATCAATTAAGCGTTATTTTCGACGTCATTGGAAGTCCCTCTGCTGAAGATATTGAAGCACTTGGGAAGCAAGATGCCAAAAAATATGTTAACTTGTTTCCAAAGAGAGAAGCACTTGATCTTAAGAAGAGATTTCCGGGATCATCTGGTGAGTCTTGATTTGAATAGATGTGAGTTCTTGATTTCTCAAACACGCTGCTTCAGTGGAAGCGGTTGATTTGTTGAAGAAAATGTTGACGTTCGACCCAAGGAAGCGAATAACAGTGAACGAAGCGCTTGAAAGCTCATTTTTCAAGGATGTGCGTCAAAAAGAAAACGAGAAAAAAGCGACAGATGCAACGCGGCTTCCCTTTGATGATTGGAAGGATATGAGTGAGTCTGAATTGCGCTACACCTTCTTGAAAGAGGCACAACGATTTCATCCTGAATTAAAAATTCCTACTGAGCTTCACTCGGCGTGTTATCGAAAAGGAAACTAGTGTTGCGAAAAATCTTGTGAATATGTTCAATGCCTTTTGTTAATGGCGTCATCTCTGTTTCAATTTTTAGTTGTTGAATCTTTTTAACGTTTATGAACAAATCGATTGGATGCTAATAATTGTTGGAGAATTAGATTTTGATTCCAACAAATAACAGTTTGTCTCCAAGATCAGCAAACGTTTCCTTTAGAATTTCAAATGTTTTCGGGGGGACCTAGACGCCTCAACTATAAGAGAAACAAAAGAATCAGAGCGATATTCGACGAACTTGGATCTTGCATCAATTGAATGCATATTGATGCAAGGCCATTCCCTACTTCCACAGCCATCGTTGCCTTTTCAGCTTCACGCAGCTCTTTGTTTTTGTGATGTGGCATTAAACTGGAGGCACGTCGGCGATTGTCAAGATCTTCACCTGAGCATCAGATTCAGAGAAGTACGGAGTGATCAAGTTTTACCGATAGAGAGATAAGGATCAGCTGTTTGAGTGACTAGATGAGTTGAGAGTTCACTGCAGGTGCGGATTGATTTTGGAACGATTTCAGGTGTGAGACCTTCTTCTTCTGAAGTGCTCTCTTCATTGTCACCTGCAGATAATTTGACGTAGGAATCATCCAAGACGCGAATCTCTGTTGGGATTTCGAGGTCTGGTTTCTCCGAACAGAATGAGACGCGCAGGACGATGTATCTTCTTCATCAGGAGAGCAGGCCGCGCGCAAATGAATCATTCCAAAAACAAATAACAGGACTGCAGCTGCATAATCATCCAAGGGAAGAGCCATTAAAATGTTTGTCGTTGCAGTAGGGGGAAGCATATGGAGCCTAAGAAACGTCAATAGTCCGATCAAAAAAGTGAATCTCTTACAGTTGCTCCACACATGTGGAGAAGACACTCTGAGTAATCAGCGCAGCGCATGTCCCAAAAAGAACGATCAGTTTGGGATGCTTTAATGACAACAACGCTGCAATGAAAAATGTTCGATCCCCAAATTCTGGCACGAGCGTCAACGTGAAAGACGTCGCGATGAAAGACCAGAAAGCTGCGAATGGTGTTGAAATCCGCGTTGGCGTCGCGTCATCATGTTTCAGAACAGAGATAGGAGTTTCGGTCGTCTCTGCTACTCGGCGTTCGTGTTTAACATTCACAAGACCCAAGCCCTCAGAGAGGAAACGTTTCGCGGTGTAAAGAGCCTTTTCGACCAAGCGGACTTCAGAACGGATAATTTCAGTAGCGAGCTTAAAATTCTCCGACGAGGAAGATGTGGAGATCTTCACACTTGCATCTTCTGTTGTCACAAGAAATGGAGGTACCCCCCGCCACTCCAGCCCAAAGAGATGCTTTGGAGACCACTGATTGACCAGGATACTTTTCAAGCTGTTCACTTTGACACAGAAGCCAGTAGTCACGCTCATACATTTGAGAGCCGGGATCAATTCAATACAACTTGTGAAAATTGTCGAGTGGAACAGACACAGCGAGGAGTTCTTGGTGGAAGTCTGTCTTCTATATCAAGAGCTTTAAGCAAAGCCTAGCAATGAATAAATACGCTTGTATAAATTTGATTCTTTGCTTTCACGATAAAATTGAGGAAAATCTCTTGGGGGATTGTCTCTCGAGGTATGCAGTTCTATGCTACGAGTTCGATTGGCGACAAGTCAATTGTTCACCATTTCAACTGGGGCTTCGGGAATGCAGCGAAGTGTGGCATTCATTGGTTGATACAAGAATCAAGTCGAAATATTGGAGAATTATCTTGACGAATTGGAACTAGCCATTGAAGAAGTGAATTGAAAACTTCCCAAGCGATGTAGATGGCAAAGTGATGCATCTGTACAGTCATGTTGGCTTCTATTGACTTCATTCCTTCCTTCTGTGCTGAATGCAGTTCTCCTCGTCTCTTGCTCCTTGGCAAAAACAACCTTTCAGTGCCTCAGGATTGTTGAAACCCCGCCCTTCCTCTAAGTGATATTGAAATCAGTATCCTTGGTTATTTAGGCGGCTATGCTTTAATCTTTAGTGGTGTGGTACCGAGTATCTTCCCTGTTTTGAAACACTTCTCATTTTCTCATTCTTCTCATTTTCTCATTCTTCTCATTTTCTCATTCTTCTCATTTTCTCATTCTGAAAAAAACCCAAACAAATCTCAAGCCATTTGAGGCTTCAAGCTCCGTTTTGGTCATTTTGATTCTGCTGAGTCTCGATCGCATGCCAACCATGAGTGAAGAATCGGGGCCAAGTAGGTCTTGAGAATATCTTCACCCAGCGAAAGAACAGAGCTGTTTAGCTGAAGTTCTTTTGTGAATTGGAGGGAAACATCAGCTGTTGGTTGAATCTGATTGGAGGTTCATCAAATCATTACAAAATGAAATCGGTTTTTACCATCGACTCTTTATCGACAACTAGCTCCCACACTCTCCATCTCAGGCAATCATTCAACATGCGCCTTCTTAAAGCATTCGCCTCGTAGCACAACCGAATTGCAGCAGATCTCAAACAAGCTCTTTCTCGAGATCTGATGGCAGGTCGAGCCCTCTGGGTTGAGGTCGGATATCTTGTCTTCTCGTTTCTACGTCAGTCATGAGTCGAAGTGCTGCCCTCTGAAAAAGTGGCACGAATGAGGGCCATGGGCGAGACACAAGCTGACCCAGAATTGATGCTTCAGTAAGTATGAAGCAACGTTGTTTCTATCAAAATGGGAGAGAGGCAATCTTCTGTCTTCGTAGCGTCCCAGTTCGTTTTTGTAGAAGAGTGATGCAAAGCCAAGCGCTGCAATTTCGGATACACCACTTGGGCCTCCATATTGAAATCCCCTCGTTTTAAGAATCAATTCACCTTCCGCGAATGTCTTGTCGAACAAGAGACGCCAGAAAGGCCCAACTGGTTCAGGACAGTGGGAATCAATTCTTTCTATACTTTTCGGACTGATAATCCAAACTTGGTCATTGATGCGACACACAACCTCACTCGACGACACAACACGATGACGCGTCTTACACCCATAAATTCTGCGAAGCTGTCCAAACAGAGCGTCGTAATTCTTGGCTTTGAGATTTGATAGAGCTCCCGGTGCGAGCGCATTATCAAGAACGTCCGACCACATAAACGCTTCCTCCTCGTTTAGATCGGTCCGACAGTTTTCTGCTATCCATCGAAAGCACGCCCCTTTGAATGGTCCCTGTTGTTGTTCGATGTTCAATAGACAAGTTACTAAAGTAGGCAGATCATCTATGAGGAGCTCATAGAGACAAGACTCTATCTTTTTTGTCATCACGCTATGAAGATATTCGAAGAATCCTTCGTCAGCCTGCTTCCCGACTAAATCAAAGAAAGCAAGTAACGCTCGTCTCTTGATCTGGGTCTCCTTATCATAGAGCCAGTCCAAGGAGCGGTGGTAACGAAGGCGCCTTCTTGTCCTTCTGGCCGGCAAGCGAATCGAATTCGGGTGGCTCTCTTGCACAGCTTCCGTTAACGAGTCATGAAACCGACTGTCTGCTCCAGAGATGCTCAGCAATTCGTCATCGGACAGAGAGCAAATCTGGATCAAAGAAAAGAGGTGCTTTCATCAAAAGGAAAATGATCCTACATATTGACCCGTCCGGTAGCTCGAAATATTCGTCATTAGTCTGGCTAGTCTTCTTTCACTTACTCCTTTGGAAAGAAAACGTTCAGACTCCCACAAAAAAAGATAGTTATAAACTGGTTCAAGCTCTCCTTTGCTGTTGTCATCTGTCAGGAAGAGACCCAGTTTGTCCATGATTCGAACTGCAATGAACTGCAAATGATCCACAGGGATCCAACGAAGATCTTGTCCCAAATTGGTTACCTCAGCTCCATGGAGTATCAACATCCGCAGCAATGATGGCAGTCTGCCCTCCCGACTATCACTGGTGTAGCCCCGATTAGCTATAATCTCATCAATGAGCTCGCTTGGACATTCTGAAGTCAAAAGATGGGAAAGTCAACTTCCTCGAAAGAGAAGCCAAGTATTCCTGATGTCCCGAATTCCATATATCAACTACTGTCAGATAATAGCACCTGGTGATGACAGTCCCAAAGCCAACAAGCGGATAATTTTCTTTCCGGAGCATCCAACCGCCCGGTGCAACCGCTTGAGGCGAGCGACATACAATCAACCCGTCAGAAGGCGTTTCGTCGAAAACATTTCCTCCAACTTGAAATTTATCCATCCCACATTCCAGCAAAGCCCGTCGTGCAATGCTAGAAGTATCTGATGGAGAGATGGACCTCAGCATATTGAAGCGATACCAATCGTTGTTGAGCTTTTCGAGAGAGGTCTTGGCATCATGTAGACAAGTGCTGAAGAAGAATGACGACACTGACGAGGCAATCGCGAAATAAATTTCCATACGCTGTGAGCCAACTACTGATTACGGATAATGTTGTCGAAGGAGTTCAGGGCGATAATCAGGAGAACCGTCGTGGCAAGGCAGCTCCAAGAGCTGGGCGTAGAAAGAATTGCGTTTAGATTTATACTCTTCCGGACTTGTCGGACTCGTCGACTCCCATTTATTCGAAAACGCCATTACATTGGCACCCCCAAAGCGTCTAAAACAACTCAATACAGAACAAACAATGCAAATCGCACATACTCGAAGTCATCGCGTATGAATCCACCAATGCTAAATGTATGTCTGGTGGCGATGCTTCGTTTCAAGTCGCGGTAACATTCGTCCGACGGTCGACGGTCGGCTAAAAACTCTTCGAAAATCTCACGAAGTCCTTCAGGACATTCTTCAACCCATTGAACACAATTTGTCACATTCATGGGTTCCAAATGTGAAATTCTCAAAACAGGTGAGCAGGAACGAACAACAGAATGACGTTACTCAATCTTGTTCGACTGTAAGTCACCGGTGTAGCATCTCCACCGTATTTTGATATGTGGTGGAGTAGTAGGCAGTTCTGTTTCAAATTATGGTCTTCAGACACTACGCTCTAAGTCAGGATGCAGCTGAACCAAACCCTCTATCAATACCAT